CCCGCCTCACTCCATCCACTCCATTTCCCCTTCTGCTCCGTTTCCTCCCACTGTGCTCAAGTCACACTTCCTTCCATGCTTTTACCCGACTCCACTCTCTCCGCTCGCACCAGTTCACACTGTGCACTCCACGCCACTCCGATTAGCCGGATCCACCCTGGCTCACACCGTCCCGCCCCACTCACTAAAACCCCACCCATGCCACGCTGTTCATCCCACTCCAACCCACTCTGTTCACCACAACTCGCCTCCGGTTACTTCCGGGCAACACAAGCCCTTTGGATCTACCCATCCGGACCATTTCAGTTCAACTCAGGTCATAGTTTGATCCGACCGATTCCCATTCAAACCATTCAGTCGGACCAAACTAATTCCACGGAATCCAGTTCCTCACGCATAGTGTATCCCCTGGTGTCTGGGAATTGGGGCCGGGACCTCTTGCAGACACCGCTCACCCATGCACATCCTACTGTACCCTGAGTCATTTCTAGATGACTTATGACACCCAGTACACTGTAATTACCATGAATTACCATGTAGACAGTTATACAGTATTGGCTGAGGTCTAGTGACAAGAAAACCACCTACATGTGTTCAGTGCAAACGTGGAATTGTTTTTCAAATCTTTTTGATCCAACAAGTGATTGAATCCGAGGCTGCAGCACCTGTGGATAAGAGGCTGGCTGTAAAGCTCAATTCAATTTAGCCCAATTCAGTTGGATTTTGATCAGCTCAGCAAAAGCTCAGTCTCGCTCAACTCATTTCTGGGCCCATTTCAGGGGGTTTGATTTAATGTGGCCGATTGCAGCCCACTCTGCTCAGCTCAGTTCACTTCCATTCAGTTCTCTGAGCCCCGATTCGGGGCTCCCATTGTTCTTTGGGTGTCTTCTACACAGAGCGGGGGCACACCAGGCAGTGGGGGGCACAGGGCCATGAGTGGAAAGATCTGGAAAGCAGGCTGGTACCGCAGGAAAGATGGGGTGCCAGAAAAACAGTCGGCGCTGGCGTGGTGAGGTCTGTGGGGAGCCGAGGACGGGGCAGTGGGGCGCCGAGGCTAGACGTTGCCCCCCACTCCAGGTGTGCGGTACGGACAGCCTGCAACCAGTGAGGCCGCCGCCGCCGAGGTGCCCTCAAGCAGCGGCGGCCCCTTAGTGACAGTGTCTGCGGCCTTACACCAAGTGTCCCCGACGGGCCTGGAGCCCAGCAGCAGCCTGCTGAGCACCGAGGCCAAGCTGGTGAGTGAACGGCTCCGCCCCGGGTGGGGACCCCGCGTAGCCCCATTCTCCATGGCTAGGAGACAGTGTGGGGATCCGCCAACTCAACCTGCCTTACCCTCCTCACTCACAGGTCTCGGCCACTGGGGGTCCCCTGCCCCCAGTCAGCACCCTGACAGCCCTGCACAGCTTGGAGCAGACGTCTCCAGGTCTCAACCAGCAGCCGCAGAACCTCATCATGGCTTCGCTGCCCGGGGTCATGACCATTGGGCCCGGGGAGCCCGCCTCCCTGGGCCCCACGTTCACGAACACAGGCGCCTCCACCTTGGTCATTGGTAAGGAGGTGGGAGAGAGTGGGCCCCTGCGCCTCCTGCAGAGTCGGGATCTGGAAAGAAGAGCCACTGGGACCCATCCATCCACCCAACGCCTACTTTCTAGACATCTGTGGCTAGGCACCCATGATCCCAGACAATGAACCAAACAAAACCAATAAGCAGTGTAGAAATGACTGAAATCATCCAGTCTAAGGAGACCGTAGGGAAGACAGCAGGGTAAGGATGTATGTGTGAGATGTTTTCTAGTTCTTCAGCCTTTTTTTTTTTTTTTTTAAAGATTTATTTATTATGTATATAGTGTCCTGCCTGCAGGCCAGAAGAGGGCACCAGATCCCATTATAGCTGGTTGTGAGCCATGTGGTTGCTGGGAATTGAACTCAGGACCTCTGGAAGAGCAGTCGGTGCTCTAACCTCTGAGCCATCCCTCCAGCCCTAAGTCTCAAACCCTTTATATGCAGGAACTATTGCTCAGTATCTAAGACATAGGGAGCTGCTAGAAGAGGGAGCAGAGAGAGAAGCCCGGGGCTTTGCCACTGCTGTGGAACCCCTAGGGCTCCAGGGAGGCCTGACAACCTCTAATCTACTCCCAGCCTGCCTCTCCCGCCAGGCCAGATGCGGAGCTATTGGCCTGGAGGATGACTCTTCATGGCCACCCTGTGTTTGTGGTGGTCCTACTGTCGGGCTATTCCTTAGCCCCTCCCCTCCCTCTTAAAACCGACAGGCTCTGGGAAGGGGGGGATAGCGTCCCTCAAAGGGTCTGGGCTGGGTCTAGGGAGGACGCAGGGTGGCGGGTACGAGGCTGGGCTGACTCCTGCCTGTCCTGCACCAGGTCTGGCCTCCACCCAGGCCCAGAGCGTGCCGGTCATCAACAGCATGGGCAGCAGCCTGACCACCCTGCAGCCGGTCCAGTTCTCCCAGCCGCTGCACCCCTCCTACCAGCAGCCTCTCATGCCCCCTGTTCAGAGCCACGTGGCCCAGAGCCCCTTCATGGCCACCATGGCCCAGCTGCAGAGCCCCCACGGTGAGCGTCCCTCACGTTGGTCTAGGGGAGGTGGGCTGGAGGTCGGCTGTGGGTCGGCACACGACAGGGCAGGTAGCAGGTGCCGTGGTCTGCCTGTGTGTGGTGCAGGTATCTACGGGCCACCGACCTGCTTCTCTGTGTGTGCACACGGGAGCTCGTGTGGGCTTTGCCATGTACGCAGTGCTGGCACCCATTGGTCATGTGCCCAGCTCTGGTTGGGTGCTAGAGTGTGGGCCACTGCCTAGTCTCTGAAACCCCTGGGGCGGGTGCACCCTTCTGTTTATGACCTTTCCACTTTTAGAAAGGTGGCTTGTGGATATCTCACGTGACATACGGTTCCCAGTCCAGGGTGGGCAGCACCTGTCCACAGAGCGCTGCTATTTCGGCAGTCAGAGGTGGGAGCCACAGGAAGGAGATTAAAGATTCCCGCAGGGTGGGGGGAAATGGCTCAGTCAGTAAAGGACTGAAGACTCACCCTTCAGAAGCCACGCGGGGGTGGGACATGGTGGTGTGTGCACTTCTTGTAACCCAGAGCTGAGGAGGTGGAGGCACACTGGTGATTCCTGGGGCTCGGGCCAGCCAGTCCAGCCTACTTGGTGAGCTCCAGGCAAGAGAGAGAATTTTCTCAGAAAACAGGGTGGGTGGCACCCGAGAACAACAGCTGGGGTTCTGTTGGCCTCACATGCCTACACTTGTATGTGGACACACACACACATGCACACGCACACACACTTATGCACGCACACTCATGTAGCCTCACACCGGGTCTGCACAAGGCTGCCCATCAAATGGGCCACGGGGCCACCCTTACGCAACGCTTCGGGTTCAGACCTTTTGCACTTCAGCATGGAGACAGGGACTTAGGGACCCGTGTGGGGCTGAAAGCAAATCTGTGTCTGCGTGGGCACCGTGGTTTTAGCTGAGCTCCTGGGAGAGTGTGCCATTGCTGTGTGCTAGGCGCGTGTTCAAGTCTCTGGGAGGGTCTGGAGGGGGAGCCGTTCCTGTGGGCGGTGTCCCGGAGATAGAGGCATTGCTGGCCTCTGTCCTGCTCACCCCAGATGGAGGCCACCAGCCTTTTCTTCAGAGACCTGCATTTGGCACAACCACACCTGCGCTTCACGCTACAGCACCCGCACTTGCTACTGCGGTCCCTTTGCTTAGTGAGCACCGCACACTGAGCACAGTACTAGAGAGTACCTGCACCTGGTACAACAGGACCACCCGCATTTAGTGCGGCAGTATCTGCATCTACTGCATCAATCTGTACTCAGCACAGGCCCACTGTGCCTCCATTCCTCGTTTGCTTATACACAGCTGAGTTGTATTCTATCTGGGGGAACACACACAGAATGAGCTGGGATTGGTGCTGGCACTTCCCCGGGCTGCTCCCCAACTGGCTTAGCTGAGCAGGCCCCTACAATGGGAGGGTAGGGGCCCATCTCTCCCACCCGGATCCCCAAGCGCTGCCCCATCAGGTCATTCACCGGGCCCCCTGTCCACTTCCTATAGGGTACTCAGTCTTGAGGGAAGGGTCCAGGGAGCCTTATCTATCTGTGTCCTCTCTCCGCCCAGCCCTCTACAGCCACAAGCCCGAGGTGGCCCAGTACACCCACACAAGCCTGCTTCCGCAGACCATGCTGATCACAGACACCAACCTCAGTGCCCTTGCCAGCCTGGCACCCACCAAGCAGGTAAGGCCCCGCCCCCTGGAGCCCCACCTGAAGTCCCACACTCCCGTGGCTCAGGGTGCTCACTCTGGTTCCCCAGGTCTTCACCTCAGACACAGAGGCCTCCAGTGAGCCTGGGCTTCATGAACCATCATCATCTCCAGCCGCCACCGTCCACATCCCCAGCCAGGACCCATCGAGCATCCAGCTCCTGCAGCCAGCCCACCGGCTCAGCACCAGTCCCACCGGTGAGGGGTCTGCTGCCTCCCAGTAGGATGTGAGGTGGTGTGAACAATGGACTGAGGGTGGATGGGGGGGGGTGCTCACGTGTGGAGGTCAGAGGCCAGCTTTCCGGAGTTGGTTCTCCCCTTCCACCGTGTGGTCCCCGGGATTAAACTGAGGTCATCAGCTTCTTTACGGTCTCACCCACCCTGAAGTACACTTACCCACCATGCCTTCTCCCCAGGCCTGGCTCAGTGCTTAGTGGCCAGCATTAAAATTTTAGTTTTTGCTGGGTGTGGTGGTGCACGCCTTTAATCCCAGCACTTGGGAGACATAGTCAGATGGATCTCTGTGAGTTCCAGGACAGCCAGGGCTACACAGAGAAACCCCATCTCAAAAAACCAAGACAACAAACCAAACAACCCCCCCCCCAAAAAAAAAACCTCAGATTTCACCTAGGAGTCTGGCTCTCTGGCCTCATCTGGGAAACTGGGAGGGCTCATGTCCTTATATCATAATGGACATGCACCCCTCAGCCTGTCCAGCTCCACATACTCAGCTTATAGCCTACAATGCCATAGAGGCTGCTGGGCTCTGAGGTCTGCGGTGTCCTCCACCCCCAATTATGTGACTTCAGGAAAGCTGCTATCCCATGGAGCCTCAGATCCCCCACCTGGCCCTTACAGCTGTAACGGCAGTTACTGAAGACACTGTCTCCTTGTACAGATGTGCCAACGCACACTCAAGGAGGTGAGGGGCCCTCTCCCACAGCTATGGTGGCAGACAGGTTGGACCCAGGGCAGATCCAGAGCTCGCTCACCCTCTGTCACTTTCCTCTGTTTGGAATCTCTCAAGACAGGGTTGATGGCATTCACACTGTGTACAGGGAGATGTGGAGCACAGCTGTAGGGCAAGAGCATCTGCCATCTGTCCCGCACAGCAGCGGCAGCCTGCGACACCCCGGGACAGCAGGAAACAATGGTCTCAGAGAAGAATGTCTTCTCTAGGAGGCTTTAGCTTCTTCCTCTCTCTCTAGTTTAGGACTTCTGATTAGATGTGGCCCGCCCACATGGCCAAGGGTAACTTCTGCTGAAAGCCAATTCACTGTTAACCACAAAGTACCTTCTGAAGGGCTGTATAGAAGCATGAGGCCCTGGGTTCGATCCCCCAGTAATGCAAAAACCAACCAGCTTTTCCAATAACGGCCACGTCAGTGTTGACTCCGCCCGGCATCTGGGAGACTCCCTGTTCACCCTGAGGGGAGAGGGTTGACTTGGGCTCCCAGATTCAGAATGTGAGGCTCTGCCTTCTCCCTCTGGAGCATCCCTAGGGACGGGCAGGTGGGGTGGAGGTCAGAGGGGACTCGGCTGGCAGCCAGTGACCTCATTTGCCTCTGTAGTGTCCTCCAGCAGCCTGGTGTTGTACCAGAGCTCCGACTCCACCAACGGGCACAATCACCTGCTGCCATCCAACCATGGTGTCATCGAGACTTTCATCTCCACCCAGATGGCCTCTTCCTCCCAGTAACCATGGTGACTGCCTCTCAGGAGCTGGGTTCCCAGAGCCTGCCCTGCCTGCATAGGGGACAAGAAGGGCCACGGCCGTGCTGCTTGGAGGACATCGGAGACTGCCATGTGTCTCCGGCCATAGGCTGCTGGCCTTCTCATCCCCCCGGCTGCTCCTCCAGCATCAGAGGGGGATGACTCGGGGGTGTCTCAGCCTGAGAAGGGGACCACAAAGGCCTGGAAGACAGATCGATCTGGCCAGTGTTTTGGAAGATGATCCCGCTGCTCAGAATGGGAGACTCGATACTTGGAACAGAGGCGGGAAGCCTGTGATGCTGGCACTCCCAGTCGGAGCCTGCAGCCTCCACAGGACCTGAGGCCCTAGGTCCACCGGCTGGCTGCCTTCTGTCTTCTGTGCGTCCTCAGGCCATTCCACCCTGCGCCAGATCCTTCCAGCCCGTGATCCACATGCCTGTTTGCAGATCATCCCCCCCCCCACATGGGGTTTTCCAAGCAGCTGTTCTTCGAGGCCTGGGGGCTCTGGGGAAGGCACGCAGGGCTCTTCTGGGCTTTCTCGAACTGAGTCATCCCTCTCCAGCCCTAGGGTCTCATTTGCTCCCTCGGACGGACATGTCTTTGATGCCAGCCTGGTATCTTGCCTCTACTAGAAAGGCCGCTTCAGGGAAAGGGGTTGTCATCCCTGTTCCTTAGGGTGTGTGACTCCCGGAGGAGGCGACACCCCGGGCCATCAGCTCCTCTGGCTTTAGGGCCCTGACAACAATTCCTTCTGGTGTGAGGGAGGCGGAACTCAGAAGGCAAGGCCTGAGCCGTGTCTGGTGGAGAGAGTGTGCTGAGACCAGCACAGAGAAGCCACCTAACTGGCCCGGGCTGAAGCCTGGGGACCAGCGGCCATTTTGAGGCATCCAAGGTCCTGAGTGCGACTGTGAGGGGCAGAGCAGCTCTGTGAACCCAGAGCACATGTGACACCATCTCCTTGGGCCTACTGTAGAGAACCCGGCTCTTGGTGGGCTCCTGTCTGGGACTGAGGAAGGGCCAAGAGAGAGACAGTGTCCCCTGCAGCTTAGAGCCGGCTACGGACAAGTCTGTACACTTATTTAACTTTTAGTAAAGTCAATGAAAAAGACGTATGGGAGCTTCCTGCTTATCCCTCAGTGGCCAGGAGGGCGGGCGGAGGGAAGCCAGGGGCAGGCCCGGGGACCTGAGGCACAGGCAGGCTCCAGGCACATGGCTGCACGTTTCTCTTGTTTACCTGGAAACGAGGTAAGGTGACTCCACCTGAATCTGTGCCTCCTCCCTGCAGAGATTCACAGAAAGAACCCCTGTCCACGTGTGGTGCCGTTTCCTGGGTTTTGGCGCTGGGGTGAGGAAGCAGGTCTGGGGGTGTGGATGGGAAGGTCCTACACGTGGTTTTTATTTAAGATGTCCCCCAACTTTCTGTGCTGAGGATGTGGCTCAGTGGTGGAGCCCTTGCCCAGTGAGCACGATGGTGTAGGTTTGATCCCCAGCACCAACACCCCAGCACTGACGTCTCACTCTCGTCATCCCGCTCAGGAGGCCGAAGCAGGAGACTGGCGGCTCTCGGGCCAGTCTGAGCTACACAGAGACTCTTTCAGACGAACAATAAAACAGGGAATCAGCACCGAGCAGGCGCAGTGCCTAGTCTACGACTTGGGTCACCTGATAATTTATTTTCCTTTTTCTCTTTGGTGCTGGGGTCAGAACTCGAGGCCCCATAGCCAAGCCTGCACCTACCACTCAGCAGGTCCTCGCACTCTGGCACCTGATTTTCAGTGACTGAACTGACTTAAGACACACTACTATGGACAGTATATTAAAAAATCTGGGGTAAGAGAATTCTGGGGAAAAGTCGGGGGATACCTTTCCTTCTCTTCCAGACAATGCTGTTAGGTCTGTGTGGGCTGGGGAAGAGGTACAAAAGTTTTTCTGGGCCTCAGTAGCTTGGAGACCCCTCCCCCTCACCCCTCAAGACCACTTGTCACACCAGGTTGGGCAGGTGGGGGAGATGGAAGCCGAGACTCCGTCTCAAAGGCTGGAAGAGCCCTCCTTCCTGAGGTAATAGAATGTTCTGGAACCGCAAGTCCATCCCCTTGCTCAGGCCTCTCCGCACACACCCACTCCTTTGCTTGGACTCTTGGACAGGCCCAACTAAAGTCACTTGTGGGTAGAGGCGGTGTTGGAACCTGGAGGGAGTGTGGCTTGGCCCTGCCCTGTCCCCGTGGGCACCTCATCCTCAAGAGCCTAAAGTGGCCATGGTGCCTAAAGTCTGAAGTCAGTTTTCAGCACGCTCTGCTGGTGGGCACGGGGAAGCCTCCCTGGATTTCTTGGCCTTTTTCTTCCTTTTCTTCTTTTTGGTCCCAAGTGATGCTGGGTCCCCGTTGACGCTGCCTGCCTCCTTTACCGGTTTCAGGCCTGTGGCTCCGGCCAAGTCAACGTCAGCCTCCTTCCTGGCTTTCTTTTTCTGCTTCTTCTTTTTCTTCTCCACCTCCCTCTCCACCTCGGCAGGACAGTGGATGGCTGACTCCTGGAGAATGTCCCACGCGGACACAGCTGCCTCACGGCATCTCTGCCGCTCCTCGTCACTGTCTTCGCTGCTGCCAGGGAGAGCAGGTGGATTAGCCGGCGTCTGGACGGGCCTCACAGCTGCCCTGCCGCCTCCAGACCAGTGGAGGCAGCCAAGCAGCTCGGGCTCAGGGGCGAGCGAGGCAGCCTCAAGGTCAGCTTCTCGGCTTGTCGGCCACGTGACCTTAACTCTGACCTCAGTACTCTGATGTACAATGAGGAGCTTGAGAGCATGCAAACCTCACAACTAGCCCAAGATGGCTGCTCATGACGTGTGGAGACCCTCAGCTCCCCCTAGAAGACCCTGTGCACTTCCTGTTGGGGTCTAAAGAGGTCTGATAGGCCTCTTCCCTTGGTCTGGACCTGACTGGGGCCACTTAGCTACTTCACGGGATCAGCCAGGAGAAGAGAGGCTGTGAGCTCTCACCTGGAGCTGGGGGGCTGGCGCTTTCGGCAGGGTTTCTGAGAAGCTTCCTTCTCGTGGCCTCCGGGGATGGATGTGAAGAAAAGGCGGAAGCCTAAGAATCATGGGGACAGAGTCAGCAATCAGAGAAGCAGGCCTCGACCCTTCCTCCGGTGCGGTGCGGAGGCTACAGCCTGTCCTCAGGCATCCCGCCTAGTGGCTCGGGCATCCTTGCTGTGTGTGTAAACTGAAGCTTGTCTGAGGAAGGGCTTTGCTTGCTCTACTGTGGAGCCGGAGGGTGGAGATGGGGGAGAAGGAAAGGAGGGATTGGGGGGGGGGCGGGACTCCAATCCAGACAGCAAGCTTCAGAGGCTTCTAGTGGTCTTTGTTTTGAGGCAGGGTCTCTCTATATAGTCCTTGCTGTCCTGCAGCTTGCTACTTAGACCAGGCTGGCCTCAACTCAAGAGATCCACCTACCTCTGTCTCGAGTGCAGGGATTAAAAGTGTATGCCACCACACCTAGCCTTCAGAAGCTTCTGAAAGATAGCAGTTGAGTCTCTTACCTGTGCCAGCCTCCAAAGAGGCCCAAGTATAGGACAGGGTCAGATCAGAGTGGGTGGGAAAGACCGTGGGCTGAGAAGGTAAAATGCTTCTGCCAGTACCAGGGCAAGTGAGGGGTCTCAGAGCTGGCTCATTCTGGGAATGGGGTACCATAATTCCTCCCTCAGAGTGCGGGGAGAGCAAATGCAAGGAGAGACCCGTGGCACAAGGCTGCCGCCCCGTGGTACTGCCAGCCCCACGGCGCCACAGACACACAGCGGCACCTCCCAGGGCGCTGCACCCACCCACCCAGTGGCACCTCCCCACACCAGCATTTATGAGCACTTTAAGGACTCACCATCCTCCTCCTCTGCCACCTGCTGCACCTCCGCTTTGCGCGGCTTCTTCCACACTTCTGAGATGGCGATGGAGCTGAGGGAGAGGAGGTGCCGGACTTAGGATGATATTTCAGGTACCAACAAAAGCACCTTTTGTTTTTAAATTTAAAAAATTTTTTCTTTTTTTTTTTTTTTTAATTTTATTTTGCTGGGTTTGGGGCACAAGAATCTGGGAGGTTAAGGCAAGAGGATCATGTGACAAGGGGTCTTCCTGCTGACCTGTCCAGCATGGCTCCCAGCTTCTTGGCCACGTGGGCTCGGAACTCAGGAGTAGTCTGAAGCTCATTGGCATCTTCCTCGTGCTGGTTCACTTCACGCCTGTAACACACGGGGGACATCACTTCCTGACAGCTTAGAAGCTGATCCCACAAGGACTTGTCTTGTTCCCGCTGACACCCTGTGGTCTAACCTAGCACCTGGAACACACAGGGGACCGATATTTGTTCAATGACTCAGAGAAGCTTCTTTCCAAGGCACAGTACCTGAGGCTTGGCTGGGACGCTGGCACCTGTTTACCTGCTGCATCTGTGGAGCGATGAAAACATGATGTTTACAGAGTGAACAAATGTGGGCTGGGTACATTTTAAGTGATTTGCATGTATAACTCAAGGATACCCCCCACCTCCATCCCACCCCCCGCCACGCCATTTCCATTTGAGAGGTGACCATTATCCTCATTCTGCCAAAGAGACATGTAAAATAATTTGGCTAGAGTCTATAAACTAACTGGGTTTTTTTGAAATGAGATTTTGTTACATAGCCCAGGTTAGCCCTGAGCTCATGCATGACTAATAGCTGATTGAATGGGAGCTAGAAGGAGGGTACAGAAGGAGGGTACAGGTCCCTCAATTTCACAAGCAAGCCTAGTGTGATGTGATTGTGGTTTATTGAGTGTCTACTATGCGGAGCTGTATGCTGTGGAAGAGGAAACTGGCTTTTGTCATGGTCACTGGAGACGCTGACGGTGGAGTCCGCTGGACAAAGTGACGGATGGCTGAACTAATAAGCAGGTGCCCCACCTGCGGAAAACTCAGACAAATGTCGGTGTCCTCCGAGGACTGACATTCTTGGTGAGAACAGATGCTAAGTGACGGTAACACAATATAAAATTGGATGATGGCAATAGTGTATAAAAAACACGCAACGAAGGAGAGGCGAGGGGCACAGTGTGGGGGACTCTTCCTCCAAAGGTGGGCACGGGGGGGGGGGCTCTGCAAGGTAACAGCTGGGCAGAAATCTGAGAGGCGAAGGGGTGAGTCCAGTGGTACCTGGAGTCTTCCAGGCAGCCGGAAGCAAGCCTGCAAAGCAGGAAGGAACCTGCGGTGCTGAAAGCCACCTGGAGGCTGGTGTGGCCAGGAGAGCAGCAGAGAGAGAGACTGTGGGGGCCGATCACCCAGGCCTCCCAGGAAGGCGGCATGAGGACTCGGGTTCTGAGAAAGAGGAGTCGATGGAGGAGTCAAGGTGTCCGGCGATACAAACCGGCTTAGGTTTTTATAGACTATCTCAGGCCGCTAGACAGAAGACCCAAGAGGCCAAAGGCAGAAGAGGGTCTGCTCACATCACTGAGGACTCTGAATACAGTGTAATGATGGAGTCTACATGGTGGGATGGGCTGGATGTCATACGGGAGGGACACTGGATGATGGCTGAGATTCTGAGGTGGACAATGGGACCAAGTGGGTTTGTGCCAAATGAATAGAACGGTCACTGAATGGCTCCCAGCACAATGCAGAGTACGGTGCATTAACTCCAGGGCCACCACTGTGTCTACGTCACTATGTGTTCACAGTGTGTCTGCCTGATACACTGTTCTGTCAATGCACTCTCAAATGCCTGATGCCCCTGGCAATGGATGTGTGGGAGATGGCCATCTGTCTTCTATGGGACGGAGTCATGAAGAGTAGCTCCCATTATGACTATGGCAAGGTCCTCCCAGGAAACAGAAAACAGTGTCAACTTTAAGAGTTAATGAAAGTAGAGATGCAGTATTTTTTCTATTTCACATCATAGGACCTGTTGGATTCTCTCTCCACGATTAGGAATCCCTATACTGGCAGATTTCGGATTCACTTCCAGTTTGCTAGGGAATCACAGTGAGATACCCTCACTGGAGTGGGACAGCACGTGAGGGCCGGGAAAGAGGATTCTGAGAACACGGGAAGGGGGTGCCTCTCCGTCATGGTTACCTTCCCAGGGAACAGC